TATATATATATATATTTATTTAGGTTTGAAAATTACATTGGAAGATAATTTTGGGCATATCATATTTTTAAAAGTAAAAGATTTGACTAGTTTGGGTTGGACATAGACTCATAAAAGAACTTACCAAAACATGAAAAGTTTTTGAGTTTTTTAATTCATTTGTCTGACATATATAGTCAATAATATAATAATAATAAAAGAAAGCTTTTATTATTGTTTTTTTTTAAATCTTTTTTAGTTTAGTTTTGGTAATTATTTTTTTAAATAGCAAATAAATAAAAATAACTACAAGTTATGTGCCGATCGAATTATGATTCATTATTTAACTCAAATTATAAGACAATTTTTTGAGCGAGTTATTTTTCAAACATGTTCATTTATTAATTCAATCTAGTCTATCATAGGTAGTAAAAACTGTAGAAAAACTATGACTCCAAATTTTGAAGGGAGGAAGTGGAAGAAAGAACATAGCTCAATTTAAATAGAAAAAAATAACCTTGTAAATATCATTTATATGTTATTTTAAGATCTTTTAGGTGTAAAAATATATCTTATACAACATATATAAAACAAAAAAATAATTTATAAAGGACAACCAAAAAATAATCCTTTCATGGTAAAATGTCAATGAGAATAAGACACTGATTATTATCTAATCATTCTCGGAAAACATCGGACGTTTACTATTTTCTTCGTTCATTTTTACTTATTTATTATTTTAAAACTAAAATTTTATTTTTACTTATCATTTTTAACATATCAAGAGAAAATAATTTTTAAAAATTCATATTTATCCTTAACATTAATTACTTATTATCTAATTTTTTTTTTAAAATCTAATACCAAAATATTTAAAATATTTATATCAATCATTATTCTTAAAAAATATGCAAAGTCTAAAATAGACAAATAAAAATTAACTGAGAAAGTACAAAATCTAGGTTAATTTACGTACGGTACGGTAGACTTTATTGTTGTTTTGTTGAAATCTAGGATGTAGTCATGAAATCTCTTGCTAGTACGTACAAATCTCCAATAGAGGTGGATCCAAGATAAATTATTTATACATATTAAGTGAATAAATATTTTTAAATATGTAAATTAAAATAATATTATTGAGTTCTACTAAATACGTTAGCTAGTTGTGTTTATTATTATACTCATTGAAGTTGGATCTAACTTCGGCTTATTTTAGAGTAATTAAGCACTTAAAATTTGTGTTTTTCAGTCATCTCAATAAATTAATTATAGTTAATAGAGGTGACAATGTTGTTTATATATTATTAATAACTCCCATTAGAAATATGAATAGAGCATTAAATAACTATGACACTACACTTTTTTTTTAATTGACATAAGGAGATATAAAGAAAAATAATAACCCTTGCCACAAAATAGACTTCTATATATTGTGAAGTACAAAAAGTACATTAGGAAATACAAATAGGAATTACTTATTTCAAGCTACAAAGGAAACAAGAAGTTACCACACACTAGAACATTGCTCATAAGCAAAACAAAATAAAAATCCAAAAAACTCAAATCAAACTATATAGTAGTGACGGAACGAAGATTCATATAGTTGACCCCAACTTATTTGGGACTGAGACGTAGTAGTTATTGTTTGTTTGTTCACTTAGGGCATTGAAAGCCAGATGGAGCTTTTTTGCCACAAGCATTAAGAAGAAGGCTTAGAGAAAGAGGGACATTAAGGTTAATCCCAAGAATATTTGCTTTAATGGCAGTGCAAAGACAAAGAGCAGCCTCGAGATCAACAAGTCCTTCAATTAGAGAGCAACAAGGTTTCTTTGGAGGATTTCCAAGTACAACTCCAAGCACATTTCCAAGAACATTAGCACAAACACCTAATTTTAGTGTATCAATAGGGCACTTGCCTTTTGAGCTAGGGCTCGGGGTTGGCTTTGGCTTTGGCTTCGGCTTCGGCTTTGGTTTAGGACTAGGACAAGTGCCACATGCACTCACAAGAGTGAAAAAAAGAAGGTTCACAAGGACAAAAAGAGCAAGGGAAGTAGTTCTCTTAGAAGCCATAGTATTTTCTAACTTTAGAAGTTTAAAGTAGATTTGTCTTTGGCTTTGGTTGATATTGAAAAAGATTATAGGAGGTGGCTATTTATAGGATTGCAAAATTAAACATCATAGTCATGTAAAATATATACTAATAAATAATACTAAAATTAAGTTTTAGCTGGCATCACAAGCATATATAATTACTTAAATCTCTTGAAAATGTATTATTATAGATATGAATTATGAAGTGTTGCAAATTACCATGTTCCTCACCAGAGTCTACACGTATGATGGACAAAAGATGAGAAAAGGAAATTTGCATATTTAATAAGATGAAAAATGTAACTTTACTAGATCTACCTAGGAGCTATACCACTAATTACACAACTAAAATAAGCAAAAAATTAACAGCATACACCTTCTATCGAGATATAAGAAAAATTCCATTGTTAATTCTATTTAAGAATGAATTAGTGACGAATTATCAAAAAATTCTTATTGACTATGAGCTATTTAGCGATAGATTAGTGGTGAATTTCATAACTAATTCCTACTGTTTTTAATGTTTAATACACTTTATTTTTATACAGTATGAGCTATTAACTGGGGGGGAAATCGTATTAGTAGCAACAAAATTGATGCCACAAATTTTTTTTAGAAGAAATTGACAGTTAATTAGCTTCTTGTTTTTTTTAATCGTTAAACTATTGCTAAATATATAACCGATATAGCTAACATAATTATTTTTAATATCCATTAGACATTATTAATCCCTCGCTAAATAGAATTAGTGATGAATTTTTTATTGTTTGGCAACAGAAACTGTCCATCCTGATTCATATTCTTCTTTTTATGGTTACATGAATGTTTTTATTTATTTATTTTTGGGTTTGGTAGTTTTTCTCTTTTATTTTTAGTTTGGCCTTGTTCATTTAATCTCTAGCCTTTGCCATAAGTAAGATGAAGTTTAATTATTCTTTGCTTATATCTTGTACAATATTCTTCCTCTAGAAGTACCAAAAGTACTGGTTAAAATAAAGAGTAGTGACATTTGATTAAAGTTAATTAAAGAGATGAATGATTGCATAATGTAATCTTTTTTCTCTAATTATTTTTTTGTTTTGTTTTTTTCTGGTTGTATTATTGATAATTGCTTATCTTAAATTCTGTAAGATTGTCACTTTTACCTAAAAGGCAAAAATGAGGTCAAATCATGCTGTCATTTAATTCCCTTGATCTAGATCAACAAATGAGAATAGGTTTAGCAGAATTTATGCTTCTAATATTTGGATTTTTGTGTTAGTTAAATTTGGGAGAATAGAATAATTAGATAATTAATTAGTCGAAAATATAGTCATTTCTTTGTTGAAGTATATGGCTCAACTTGCATCTTTTGATAGGTGTAGTGGGAATCTAAGGACTTTCTTGAGTCACGGACATAATAGGAAAGTACCAAGGGTCCCACACTTTAAAATAAGACAATGAAGATCGTGGAGATAGAAAGATTGTTTCTGAAAGATCTTCGGCTGAAGTATATTTTGTTAAATTAGGTCTTAGGTCTAACTCACACCCCAAAAGTTAGCTCAAAGGGAGGATGATTGCCCAAGCCTTATAAGGAGTTCACCCATCTCATTAACCACCGATGTGGGACATTTGTCATTCTTTAACACCCCACCTCATGCCCAGTGCTTAGCATCTGATGCGTGGGAAATTTTGATTTTGGGGGCCCCAACATTGGGTGAGACGGGCCCTGCTCTGATACCATGTTAAATTAGGTCTTAGGCCTAACTCACACCCCAAAAGCTAGCTCAAAGGGAGGAGGATTGCCCAAGCCTTATAAGGAGTTCACCCATCTCATTAATCACCGATGTGGGACATTTGTCATTCTTTAACATATTTAATTCAAGAAAAGAAAGAAGAAAACAATGAATAAAGCATAGTCATTAATAAGAAAAACAGTGCAAATTCACTTCATCAAAAATGATCTTTAGTGATAATTAATTCATGACAATAGCTTAATTGCCACTAAAAATGTATTTATAGCGGCAAATAACACTCTTTGTAAATGTACTAAAGTCTTTAGCGACATTGGATCCAATGACAATTAACTAATGCGGATAAATGTTTTAGCCCTCTTTGTTAATGTGTATATTTATTGCCACTAAAAGTTATTTTTATTGTAATGAGTCTACAAAAAAGGAACACTAACAAACATAAAAAATAATGTGATAATTGAAAACACAATAATCTACACATGGCAAAAACTACAAAAATATGACTAGTCTCTTAAATATATTTTTGAGTAGTTTTCGTCCTTTAAATTTATCAAAAATGAATATTTGTTAGATTTTGTGAGAATGTAACCAAAAAAAATTAATCATAAATACCCATGTTAGACCATCTCCAACCCATCTCTATTTTACTCTCCATTCTTCATATTTGGAGAGTAAAATAGAGAATGAGTTCTCCAACCACTCTCTATTTCACTCTCTATTCTTCAATTATAGAGAGGTGAATAGTAGTTCTCCAAATT